TTGTATACTCTGCCAGATCGAAAACGCAAAAATCTTTGAGCAAATGTTGTTCTGACTGGAACTGAAATACAGACGGAGTAGTGTCTTCTCTTTTGGTTCACACTATCGTGGTTTTGTGGAGGTGTTTGAGAGTGCTGATGAAGAGTGACGGCAGAAATGTAAAGTTGTCTAACTGTTAATAGCTTCGACTCTTTGTACAGACGTTCGGTTGGGAATAATTTGGGTTTAAAAAAGTAGATTTTCAACAACATCCTTTGAGCTCTTTCCAATTTCAGTAATACAGTTTTTGCAGCACCACCCCATGTTCCAATGTAGTATGTTAGAATACATTGTACAAGAGCCTGATACACCATTATTAAAGTATCCTTGTCTGCCACATGACGTAAGTACTTGAACAAATACGAACGCTTCCTAACTCTTTGAGATAAGGTTTCATACCTGTGTGGTTCTTAAATGTAAGGTTCCTGTCGATGACAACACCAAGGTACTTTACACTGTCAACCCTCTCTATACAGTGGCATTGGCATGGGTGTAAGATATTAAAAATACATTTGTGAGCTGTAAGAGTCATTGAAGGAGGACAATAGTTTTTATTATTTATTGAAAAAGCTACGTACTTTGTTTTGTCAGCATTTAAGGTAAGGGAATTAGCTGCTAACCAGTGACAGACCGTTGTGAAACCCAACTGTGCTGTTTCAAAGACCTCCTTCCAAGACCTACCATAAAAAGTTAATGCAGTGTCATCAGCATAAGATGATATCCTACAGTTCTTGATCTTCATATTACATAATTGGTTGATGTAACAAAGGAAAAGACTAGGACCAAAGTATGCTACCCTGAGGCACCCCACAAGTTACCGTCAGCTCATCACTAGTATTGTCTCCAATCCTCACGCTTTGGGTTCTGCTACTAAGGTAACTAGATAACCGAGTGAGAGGTGTACCTCTAATACCTAGCGCCTGTAGTTTGGATAGAAGCAGAGGAACCGAAACAGTATCAAATGCCCTGGCAAGATCCATAAAGACAGTTAGACATTTAAAGTTCTCATCCACTTTCCCAACCACGAATTCCGTAAAATCCCGAATAGCGTCATCAGTGGAACGACCGGTACGAAATCCGTACTGAGTGTCAGCTAGCATTCCGCATTGCTCAAGGTACTTTCTCAATCTAATGTTAATGATACGCTCAAAGATCTTAGAGAAGGTGGTCAGCATTGAAATTGGTCGATAATTAGACATACTAGCCTTGTCACCCGCCTTGTGGATGGGAATCACAATAGATCTTTTAAGGGCTTTGGGAAAAATACCATACTGCATACATCGGTTAAGAAGATCCGTAATGACGGGAGTGACAAGGCCAGAGATCTTTCTTATGACGTTGGCGTAGATCATATCCCAACCTGGGGAGCAATCACCTTTTAAGCCTAAGATGATACTTTCCACCTCCTCACAATCAGTTGGTAAGAGAACGAATGAATTTAGATGGCAGGTGTAATTACCATGAACATAGCTACTGACTGGGAAGGGCGGTACATTAGTAGGGATATTCCTAGCAAGAGTTTCTCCGACTGTGGAAAAGAACTCATTTATTTTATTTAAAGAAGTCATAGGACTGTCCCCACATACCAGCTCCTGTGGAATAGAATTTTGCCTACTAGTATTTGTCACCGAAGTTATGGTTTGCCAAAGTTTTTTCGAATTATTTCTACTTTATGCAGTTGATCACGTTCGTACTTATATTTCAGTTTCCTTAGTAATCCATTGCAAAAATTACGATATGTTTTATATGTAGTCTTAGTGTTTCATTGTCCGGTGTCGATCTCAATTTCATGTGCATACTGTCCCTATTCCTTATACAGCGTAACAGTCCAGTCATTATCCACGGTTTGATTATAACTTTACTTCTAGGGGTCTTAACAATAAAGGAATTTTTAATTATTGGGTTTGAAATTTTGTCTACTAAAAGATTCATGGCTACTTCTACATTCGACTCTCCGTAAACTTCCTCAAAAGTTTCTTCACTGCACAGAGCTGT